CAGCACACAGAACTACCGAAGCTCACGGGGGGTGGGGGGGAGGGAGGGAGGCCTTGTCTGAATAGAAATGGTAACTGAATACAATCAGTTAGCATTGAAAGTGACCTGCTGTCTGCATGTCAATGATTACCCCATTCAGGAGGCCATGTTCTGGGTGTTGGCACAGCAGACCCTTTGCCCTGTACCATGGTGGGTGGGTGGGGGGCAGTTGATGTGCCACGCATCCACTTAGAACTCATGGGGTTTAGGATGACCCCAGGAACCCATTCATGCACCCTGGGGGTAAGATACTAACTTTTACTGGATCAATGAATAAGCACATCCAAGAAGCATCTCCCCAGAAAAGAGCCCTGCCCTGCAATAACTCAAGTTTGAAAGAAGCATCTACGCAGAAAATAGCCCTGCCCTGCAATAACCTAGTTTATAAAGAAGCATCTCCTTTGAAAACAGCCCTGTGTGGCAGAGCACCAGTTGTGTCTGCCATTTTAAGGGGTTTGAGAAGGTGGCAAGCACCCTGCAGATGGGAACAGACCCAATCAGGTCTTCACACGGTAGTTATGAAGCTGCCTTATTGATGGAGATGCTGGGGAGCCTGGGTATAAGGCTAGGCCCTGAGAACAGAGCTGACAGTTGCTGCAGAAGCCTGAGGAACAGCATCACCCAACCAGAGATCTGCTGCTCCCAGAACAGACTGAAGGTCAAGGGTAGGAACTATGTGGATGAAGAAGGTTCCTGGTCCTGGGGCATGACCTGAAACTACACCCTGCTGGGGTTGGATGGTGTGGTGGGGCTGTCTCCAAGAAATGCCACACCTGTGCCTCTCAAGTGAAAAGCTAGTATGGGGCACTGGAAAGCCTCAGGTCCCACTGGCCTGTGGGTGACCTCATGGAAAAGAAAGGCTAGGGGAGCACACACCGACAGAAAAGCACAGGTCCAAGGCCCGCTGACTAGGGCCTGAGGCGGAGTCCAGGTCAAAAAAAGCGGACCTGACACAGAGCCCAGGTCCACTGAGTGAGGCCTGAGGCCCAAGAAGCATTAGGCCCAGCAGCCCAGTGAAGGGCAGGGTAAAAGCCCCAGTGGAGGGGGCCGGGTACTGAGGCCCCAGTGAGGGGCAGGGTATTGAGGCCCCAGGAAGGGGGCTGGGTAGAGGCCCCAAAGAACAGGGCAGCCTCAGAGAGGGGGCAGGGTAGAAGCCCCAGTGAAGGGGGTATGTGACCCAGGTAGGGACACCTGAGGCCGAGTTTGGGCCACAGGCCGAGTGTGGCCCAGCTACAGGGCCAGGGGAATAATAGTGGATACGGATGCCACCTGTGAGACATAGGAAACAGTATAAAGGGAGGTTCAGAGACATGTATTTTGCCTTTGGCATCAGGGCAATTAATTGGGCAGCCTCCCACCTAGGAATAATTTTAGTTACAACAAAGGCATGGCAGGTGAGGCAGGTGGGTGGACTGCCCTAGGCAGGTGGATGAGCCAACTTTTGGAACGGCCCTGGGACAGCCCCTTGTTACACTCTGCCCTGCAAAAACCCAGGTTGGAAGGAAACATCTCTCCAGAAAACAGTGCTGCCTTGCAATAACTTAGCTTAGAAAGAATTATCTCCCCTGAAAACAGGCCTGTCCTGAAAGAACCCAGGTTTGAAAGAAGCATCTCCCTAGAAAATAGCGCTGTCCTGCAATATCCTTGTTTAGAAAGAAGCATCTTCCCTGAAAACAGCCCTCCCCTGCAATAACCAGGTGTGAAACAGGGGTGTGTGATGGACAGAGCTATGTCTCTATAGCTCCCATTAACATCTCAAGACCTAAGGCAGGCACCGAGGTGCCAGAACCATCAAGTCTGCTCCCAAACACTATCTATAATTGACCCCCATCCGATTTTGGAATAGGGCTTCATTAACACCAACACTTCATTTGTACTCCTGGCTGAGCATTGCAGCCTCTTGCAACCCACTCTCCCCACCTAATTTGCTCGTTCGCATTCTGCCCCCACCCTCCACTCTTCCAGAAATAATTCAGTCATTCATTGTGAAAAAAGTTGGGGTTCTGGCGGTCAAAGACACAGTGTACTATGAACCCCAACACAGCTGAGCACTTGATTAGGTGGCACAACGACGGTAGGGGAAGTTTTGCCTAAAGGAAGAGCTGCCAGCCACGGATGCTCAGTTGTGATTGGCAGTGGGACATTATTGATCTATCCATATGGACAATGGGGGTTGAATTGGGCCAGGCTATGCCTATCACTGTTGCTTTATTTGTAAACAGTACTTGATCAGATTGCCCTGACTGCCGGTTCTGAGACACAGTTGACACCTTCATGGTTATGCATAAGTGGAATTTTCAGAAAGTTTTGTTTAACATATGTCTATATAACAGCCCCCAAAGTTTGCCAGGAAACTTTTTGTGACTCTGCTGTCAGGATACCTCAGTACTGAAAACTTTTTGGGCACGAACAACTTCTTGATGTCTCAGAAAAACAAGTCCAGTATGCAGGTGACAGAGCAGGTGGCTGATAAATTTATCAATCATGGCCCAAAATGGACCCAGGAAGAACTTAAGGACTTGACTGACATTTGGTCAGAGAAAAAGATCATTGAGCAGCTTGAAAGTAGTTGGAATAAGCTGGTGTATACTGCAATAGCAAAAAAAATGATGGTACGAGGACAGAACTGGGACTGGACACATTGCTGGAGCAAAGGCCCTGAAATATACATATCATTGGACCAACAATGAGAACTTCTGTTCTAGGGCAGCATGCACAATTACTCCATTCTACGACCAGCTGTCCATCATTCTCTCAAAGGATGCGGGCTAGGCTTCCTGTCTCCGGTTGTTTGGTACTGGAGTTGTCCTGGACAGCACACCTAATGAAGAAGCCTGAAGTTGTCCTGGAGAGCACACCTAATGAAGGAACCTCAGAGTGTCCTGAGAAAAAAACCATAAGCATGTCTGTGGGTAACTGCTTGATGCTGCTGTATGACAGAGACGGCCAAGAGGAGGTGATGCTGATCATGAGCACAGTCTCCCCGACCACCACACCGGTGAGCACAAATGATGAGGAGAAGGACATCACTTTAGATGCAGTTAATGCATCAGAGGTTCTTCTAGAGACCCAAAGATCGGTTTCCGTTCCCAAGATGCAAGAGGACACGCAACCAGGGACTTGTAAGTTTCAGGGAATGGGCAATATATCCATTTGCGCCACTATTTTGTTGCCATTCAGTTGGATGTGCTGGGGGTTTGTGCATGTAGCGTAGTCCTTTTTAACATTTGGGGAAGAGACATTTCACCATACCATGAACACTTTGTTTTCCTATTCCTGTTATCAGCTACCATGCCCAATGCCAGCTGCAGACGTGCATCCAAACCTTGGACCCCAGCTCACATTGGAGTGGAGCACATGTGGGAATGCCACCACAGGAAGCAACGCTCCAGAGAGAGCATGATGGAGGCTTTGGTGAAGGCAGCACAAACCTGAGTGGCCACCATGGATGACTAGTGGAACAAAATCCAGGAAGTGCTTAGGGAGGATGAGCAGAATTGAAGCGTAGACAACACCCTAGAATTCACAAAACAGCTCCTAGACTGCACAAGCCAGTTTCTTGACCTGGCCATGCAGTGCCATGACCATCTGCAGGAGACACACACATTTATTAAGGACCATGTCCTTCAGTGTGTGAACAAGCCCCTATTCATAAATGGGCCCCCCCCCCAGAAAGCTAGTTCCACTTGGCATGCCTCTGTCCAGGAAGTAGCCAGAAGTATTACAGCTGAGCCTTTTCCCCCACCCACATCACAGTCAACTGAGGGGTGCAGTGAAGGAGTGAGAGAGAGTAAACAAAAGCCACGAGGTGCCTTACATGCTGGGCAGGGGAGGTCAGCAGAAGAAAAGCAGCTGGCAGCGACAGACAGGGAAAATGAAAGCAAGCAACACTTACAGCATGGATGGCCAGCAGGGCTGCAGCTGGAGAATGGAAGGGAAGATAAGCAATCATCACGCTTCCGGAGCAGCATCTCACTCCAGATTGGAGAAGGGAGGCTGCTCAGACGTATTTCTGGCCCCCGGAAAGGGGCAGAAGGGGGTCGATTCCCTGTGAGCCACAGAGAGAGGAGCAGCTGAGCGCCCTGGCAGGCAAGTGTTGCAAACCCTGCCAGAGAAACGCTGCAGGTGTGACCCAGAGAAGGAGACAGGCAGAGGTGTGCCCACACAAGGCTTCTGATAATCTCTGGAGTGGAGTGACAGCTGAGGATCTGGGAGAGAAGCCAGAAGAATTGCTGTTTTTCAGGTTAGAGCCTCACTGCATGTGAGAGATCCCATCGGGACTGTGATGCTCACAAGTAAGCCAGGGCAGGCCTGTGCTGAGCAGTGACTGGAATAACAGTTGGTTTTTTCTGTTGTGGTTTGGACAACAGAGCCTTACCCCAGGTGAAGGGGACCTGGACTGAGTATGACAAGGGGACTGAGAGCATTCAGGTTTTGCTTTCTTTTGGATATTTGAGTACAGGCCAAGGCCAGCCCTTGGAAGGGTGTGCACCTAACTAAAGCCGATGGTCACCCTGGTGGCTGAGGGCGGAACAGTAGACCAACAAGCAGCATTAAGATCTGGCTGCAGAGAACTATGAGTGCCATCTGGAGTGGCTAGGGTGGGGTAAAAGGGAGCACCACAGAAGAAAACAGGGATTGAGACCTGGTAGGATTACCTTGGGCATTGCCTCCTAGCAATATAATATGACCAAAGTCGTGGTAGGCAAGAAACATAAGACCAACTTCCTGACAGACCAGGTGATCCAAAGCCGAGGTCCACCCTGTCACCGCCTGTAGGGAAATGAGCTCAGGGCAGTGGCAGCAAGCCCTACAACACCTACAGTCATCACAGGTGCCACAATGCCTGCAGGACCAGGAGAGCACCACTGCAGTTCGGGAAGCAAGGGACGGGTCAGACCGGGGGTGGGGGATGCATGGGTGGGAAAGAAATCCAACCACAGTAAAAGCTTTGTTATCCAGCACCCACGGGGAATGGAGAGTGCCAGATAACAAAATATGCGGGATAACTGAGCAGCCCGAACAGGCGTCTTTGCCTTCTCAGGCCATTGTCTGTCCCACCACGTCTGGGGTGTCACTGCCCCTCCCACTGCATTGCCGCCCCTGCTGCCACATCGCTGCCCCTCCTGTGGGCCCTGAGGAATAAGGAAGGGAGGCCCATGCAGCCTGCCATGCCCCTGGACCATGGGGGTTTGGCAGTGCAGGCTGCTTTCCTCCAGGCCATGGGTGCTCCATGAAACCGGAAGTGCCACGGTGGGTACTTCCAGTTTCACTTTTCCCTTACAAGCCAACATGCCGGTTAACAGAGCATGCCAGCTTGTGAGGTGCCGGTTAACACAGCTTTTGCTGTAATTAACTCCATCACATGTTAGTCGTTGTAAATAAAAGGGGTATCCTACTGCACAGATTTACATAAGTTTAGGGCTGGAAGGGACCTTGTGAGATCATCAGGTCCACCCTCCCTGCTCTGGGCAGGAAAGACTGTTGGGGTCAAATAACCCCAGCAATGTGTGCGCCCAGTCTCCTTTTGAAGATCTCCAGGGTAGGTGCCTGCACCATCCCCACTTGGAATCTATTCCCGAGTCTGGTCACATGAACCGTGAAAAAGTTTTTCCTTATATCCAGTCTGAAACCTTATTCTATGTTTATGAACCATTACTCCCGGTTTTCCCCTTGGGCACTTTGGTTTCACCTAGCCCCTTATGTTGTCAGTGTGTGAGTAGATGATAATTACCCTCTTTGGAATGTGAAGTGGCTGGGTAATATCCCACATAGACAAGGAAACTGCCTGCCCTTAAAGGGTTAACAAGTGGCACCCTTTGGACAGAACAGTCATGAAATTAGACCTAGAGACTTCTATATTTTGATATTTAATTTCTATATTCAGCATGTGTGAACATGAGGTGTCCTGTACCTGGAGCTGGACTCTCCTCCACATACAGATGTTGGCTCTGGAGAGCCCTTTGTGAAACTTTGCAACATTTCACAGACAAGATGCTCAGCAATTATTGCAGTCCCCTGCCTGTCCTTGGATTGTGGCTTGGTCATGCATGGTGGTGTGCAGTGACACTGGTAAGTCAACTGGCCAGAAACAGCAGTCAGGAGGCTGCTAAAGGCCCCCGCTCCCCCCCCCCCCCGCTATGTCCACTATAAGCAGTGTCCTGCTGGGTTATGGCCACAGGCAACTGTGGCCTCCACCCCAAACACTCCCCAACTCCCCTGTCTGTCCATGCAGGACATCTGCTCTGATCAGCTGCTGCACAGTCCTCGGTATCTGGGGTCACGTTGTGTGAGGCTGCAGGACAACTGTAGCGAGGGTCCTGCCAGGCAGAAGCCACCCCCCTGGTGGGGGGGTCTCCGGGGAGGCAACATGGGGATAGCACCCCCCCACCACACCAATGGGCACAAAGCCGTGTGTCCCAGACCATGCACGATGAGCTCTTTGTGCAGTCTGAAGGTTGCCCTAGTCACTATGCCCTGCTGATGATGATCCTGCTGATGCCCTGTGCACACCTGTGTTCGTGGTTCAGGACAGTTAGCTACAATGGCATGGGGGACAAGCCTGGTCTGTCATGCAACCTCCGCCAATGGCTGGATGGATACCTCTCTCAGCACTACACGGTCCTGACCCCCGATAGTGAAGACAACATTGCCACAGGAATCAACACCTTCCTTCGCATGTAAATGGCGCGCTCGCTCCCACCAAGTTCTGGGGAAGGGCAAGGGGATGACAAATAAAATTGGTGTGTACCTTATTATCCCTGTGTGTGTGCTGTGCCTTGGTGTTCTGAAGCGATGGGAACAAGGGGCCAGAGCGGTGCTGTTGTGCCACCCTACCTGCCCTATAGTAAAGGTCAGTGTGCACATTCACGCACGTTGGGGAAAGAAATGACCCATTATTCATAAAACAGGCAGCTGTGCTTAACTGTACTGCAGGATCACAGAACACCATTTCTCAGATTTTCTGTAAGTCCCACAAGGGAATCAGTGGTGTTCAGGAGTAGGGGTGTAGAAATTCAGACATAGCCTAAGAGTTATCTTTTAGGGGAGGTAACAGGGTAGCACCAGTTCCTCAAGGTCACTGCTTTCACAAAAACTCTTGGGAGCACTGCTCTGCTAACATATTTTCTGCAATGCAACAGTAGCCCTTTTCACTGGCACCAGCCACCAATGGGGGGGCGGGGTTCAAGAGAGTCAGTCTGAGGATAAGAACCTTTACCCGAGGCCCTATGACCCGCTGACCCAGACACTGGTGCTAGGGACCCCTGCCCAACCTTTTCTCCCCCCCCCACCCCACGACCGACCATGATCATGCCTGCCCCATCCCTGGCATTAGCACAGACAGCAGCCTCGAGTCTGGCCTTTGTATGACCCCAGTCAAAGTACAGGAGGAAAGCAGTGGCTAACAGGAGACAAAGTAGTTCTCCGATGAGTGCAGGCATGGAATTGGAGAACCGCATGATAATTTAAAGGGCAAATGAAAACACTCAAAGCTGAGAAGTGGTTATTAATTCCATACCACTGTCAGAGTAACGGACAAGCTCAAGGGGTGGCAGGAGCCAGTGTTCCCTTACTAATCTTGATGTGCCTGGAGTTGGCAGAGCCAGCTAATATGGAACTTGCATGCATGCTGGATGCTATCATCCATGGCAGTCCCCTATCGCGCGTGGTGGACAATGTGGTAACCCACTTTAGTGTCAGCTGATATGGTTGATGAATAGTGGGTTAGGAATCATGTAGATTCATAGAAAGTAAGGGCTGGAAGGGACGTGGAAAGATCATCCAGTTCAAAGCACCCTACTCAGGGCAGGAACACTGCTGAGATCAAGAGATCCTAGGAAGGCATCTGTCCAGTGTCCAAAGACTTCCAAGGTCGGGGACCACACCTTGGGTAGTCTATTCAATATTCTGGTCACCAGTAAACAAGTTCTTCCTTTCGTCCATATAGCTAACATTTTCATTCATTCATTCTCATCATGACTCACTGCCTCACCGGGTATGAAAACTGTGAGCAGGGACCAGTGCCTTGACACATGGGTGACTTGTAGCTAGCCCTCTGTTGTCCCGTGGCCCAAAAGGAACCCTGTGGACATACCCATCAGTGCATGGCTCATTTTTTACCTAGACAGATTTTAGGCACCCTTTTTGGAAAAAAAGTATGGACAAATGAAACAAAGTTGTCAGGATGGTGCCAGTATGTCTGCTGTACAAACCTGTTGAACCAAAATGAGGGTTGGGGGGATGAACTTTTCCTGACCTACGAAATGAGAACCCTATAAATTGAGGGCACAGGGGCCCGAGTATGGGTACCCCTTATTGATCCGAGATGGCTGAGGAGAGAAGACAGCAGACCAGGGGAAGAAAAGAGCCTACCAGGGTGCATAAGACTAGGACAACTTGGTCCTATGAAGAAACTAAGAGCCTGGTGCATGTGCTGGGGAACCCTGAGGTCTTAAGCCAGTTCAGTGTCAGCAACAGCCTGACCATGAACTTGCACATCTACCTGGATGTCTCCAAGAGACTTGCCCAGAGGGGGGCACAACAAGATGGAAGTCCAGAACAGAATGTGAGAGCTGCTTCCAACGTGGCGTAGCAAGACCTCATCAGAATGGTAGCCCCTGCTTAATGTGCTACATTATCAGTACCTCCAACCATTAATAGAGGTACTCCAATGCCAAGCAAAGAGAAGAGATATCCAAGCTGTCCCCTGCTCCTGCCAGTTCACTGACCACAGGTCTGACTGCAAGTCCTGCTGCTTCATGGAAGGAAGACAGAGGCAGGTCAACAGAACCAGTCCTTGCTGAGTCTGCTGAAGAGGAGAGACTGGGGACATCTTCTACAACTGATAAGTTGAGCCATGGGGAACTGACATCTAACATCTGAACTGATACCTGAGATTAGGCTGGGCTGTGATGTGAGGGGTGCAGGTTGGGGGATCACAGGTAACTGCCATGAGATATGTGTGTGGGAGAGTGTTAATTTAACTGACAACTAACTGACACGTGGGGGAGGATTGGATTGTCATGCAGGAAGGTGAAGGGCAATGCAAAACACACAGGCTCTGTAGATGACAAGTTTGCAGCCATTTAGGGCCTGCAGTCCAACAACGTGGACAGGCAGGCAGGCAAGCCCTTCTTAGTGGGTTTTCTAGAATGCTTCTTATCCACTTGTCTGATTCTCAGAGCACACAATTATCCCCACATTCAGTCCTTCCTTGGCTTTCAGCTCTGGTAGGTATGCTGCCGTTGCTGCTATCAATGCCGCCAAAAAAACACAGACTACACAGGGAGCCTGATGATGCCTGGTCAGATAGGATTGTCAGTACCATCAGTACCTGCACAGTATGGTTGCAGGAAATAGCAAAACAGGCATGCTGAGTCTGTGGCCAAGTGTTGGCTGGGCAACATGGCAGGAGGCATTCACAAGAAAGGGAGAAAGAAGGGCAGTCCAGCTTAGAAATGTAGAAAAACAGTGTTGCTTATGTGCAGTGATAGTAGCTAAGTATTGCTAATTAGTGGTCATGGCCTGTTTGTTGATTTAAACATACATAAACAATGCCTATGGTTACTGCATGTGTGTAAAAAAGGTATTGTAATGAAACTCACTGCATATTGCCTGAGGTTTAAAAATTAAATTAGTACTGCTTCTCACTAATGTTTACCTTGAAAATTCTGTAAAGTTGGTTGGTTATTTCTTTAAGTTATGCTTACTAAATCAGTAAAGGTTAATTATGTAAAAAAACTGTTTTGCCTTCTTTTTTTTCACTGAGGGTGGCCATCAGATCATCAGGCCAGAGTCCCAGGCTTTGATCCTGTTTTTGTCGTCACCACTGCCAAATGAACAGTTGTCTGCAACATTAGGGAGGATTGCCTAACTTGTAAAACTGGAAAAACCAGTAAATCCCCAAGAAGCAACTGCATGACACTGGGGGTTGGGAGTGGGGGCACTGCCAGGGGTGCCCTGGTTATGAGGCGGGCAGGATGGCTCAGGGTCCTGAGTCCTAGAGTGAGGAACAACAGATTGGGCTGGACTAGGGCACCTCATTTTTTTAAATGGAAATATGGTAACCCTAATGAACGTACCTGCTACCATTGACTGGGTCCGACTGTGAGGTGAGACTGTGCAATCATGACTAAGGCAAGCAGCAGCACAAGGCAGTGTGGCAGCTATAGGCTACCTGCACACAGTGCTATGAGAACACAGGTGCCATTTGCTCTGTCTGACTGAAGGGCAAATGAAAGCAGTCTGTAGCATCCCCTTTAGGCAGCCAAGTAGTTCTTCATTCCTGGATTGAACCAGGGGCAGATTATGTGGTAACTATGCCATTCTCATTAAGGGCTGCCGGCTGCCGTGGGTCTGACTGTGGGGTAACCTTGAGCAATCATAAATGGTACAGCAGCCAGCACAAGAAAAAAAAGGGGCATTCATTTAGGAGCAGTCTCTTTCTTCTGTAATGCTAGCCAAGATGATACAGACCGGTCCACTAACACTCTCTGAGTTTGACCCCTCAGCCAGTTCCCAACCCACCCGACCGTGAACTCTGCCAACTCACAATTTCCCAGTTTTTTTTTATAAGAGTGTGTGGCAGAGCACTTTTGGTTCCTGCCACTTTAACGGCTTGGAGTGGCAGCCGGCAGGTGCAGGCCAGTCCTGATGAGACAGTCACATGACTGCAAGAGGGCCATGTGATTGGGAGAATGGGTTGAGCAGTCTCCATTTTAGCTCTGCCCCTCAGGGCTGAGCCAGCAGTCTGCTGCTGGCAGCCAGAAAGACACCAACCAGCTGAGCAGCTGCTCAGGAACACCTTGGAGGTAAGAACAGGAGCTATGGTGATAGCAGGAGGCTCCTGCTCCTGGGGAAGGGTGGCCTGGTGGAACTGCTCATGTCTGGCAATTCCCCAGAAATGCCAGACCAGTTGCCTCCCCAGTAAAGGCTGGTAAGGGTGCCTTATAACCCCAGCTCCCACTACCCAGTGGGTAATTTCAGACCAGAGAGTTAGCAGTGAGTCCAGGCACATCTGCAGATACCTGAACCCGTTGCAAGTGGCCTTGAGAGGGGCAGTATGAAAAAGGCCCTGTGACAGGGAATGGAGTGCAAGAGTGGAGTGCTAGAGGCCCAGCAAGGGGCAGAATTTAGCCCAGTCCTGGGCTGGAGTTGTTATCAATTTGCCGTGCCATCTGTGAAGCATGAGACATAGTGTAGGGGCAGTATGGAGCCATGTACAATCCCCTAGGCATCGGGGCATTAAATGAACAGCCTCCCACACTCAACTTCTATTGTATTACACCAAGTCACGGCAGATGAGACAAGTCAGACTGCCCTAGACAGGTGGGAGGGCCATCAATAAGATCCGGTCCTGAGATGGCCCACTGTCACAGAGCATCATGGGAAACCATATTGAAGGTCTTTTTAAAATCTAAGTATATGACATCAACCACATCTCCCACATCTAAGCAGTTTGATACTTGACCATAGAAGGAGATGAGGTTGGTCAGACACGACCAGTCCTCAACAAAACCATGTTGGCTGTCAGCATCATGCCTTCTGCCAGTCTCTCACAAACGGCCTTCTTGATAATTTTTTCCAAACTGTTATCCAGTATCAAGGTCAAACTGAATGGCCTGTAGTATTCCGGATCCTGCCTCCTTCCTTCTTAAAAATTTGCACCACATTGGCCCTTTTCCAGTCTTCCGGGACCCCTCCCAAGCACCACAAGTCTTCAAATACCTTCACCAATGGTCCCGCAAAGACTCCAGCCAATTCCCTCAGCACTCTCAGGTGTAGTCCATCTGGTCCTGCTGATATGAAGACATTCAGGTGCTCTAAGTGCTCCCTCACCGGTTCAACACTGACCATTGGTTGGCAATTGCCCCCCAACCCCGCATCCATCCATTACCCGACCAGGCAGGTGACCACCATTTGTATGCAGGAACACCAATGCAAAGTATTCACATCTCTCTATCACATTTTTCTGTGATTAAAATGAATCTCAGGAAATTGTGGATTTTGGATTCCCTTTTTTAATCTGAAAACTGGGGGTATTTTTTTGTTAAAGAAAACAAGGATCCCTGGTAGCCAAAATTTGGAATGGGCTTCAAGGGAGGTGGTGCTCTCCCCTACCATGGGGGTCTTTAAGAGAAGGCTGGATAGGCATCTGGCTGGGGTCATCTGACCCCATCACTCTTTCCTGCCCAGGCAGTTGGTCACACTCAATGATCTGTTGAAGTCTCTCCTGACTCCAACATCTATGAATCTATGATCCCTGCTGATCACATGGTATAACAGCCACTGAGGCTGCCCACAAGCTCATAATAATGAGGAAGAAAAACAACCTTTTCTATGAATGGACAGTTAATGTATAACTAATCAAGCAAAACAATTAAGTCATCAGAAAACTCTACAAATGTTGATAGTGGAGCATCCTCAAGAAGTACATACCCATCTCCAAAAAGTACAAGGGCTGTTTTTTTCTTGTCCCAAAGTATTGTGATTCAGTGGCAATCATATATAGAAAGGCAATCTAACACAATTTCAACTGAAGGTTGTGATACCTTATAAAAAAACCCTGAAAATGTAAATAAAGGAAAATATATATTTTAAAGATAGTTAGTGTCAATCAGCATCATTCTACTGACTTAAATGAAATCTGCTGATTGTAACCAAGAGATGATCTGGTCCCTAGAGTACCTGATTTAAATTCTGTAGCAAAAAATTCTCAAAAGGGTTTTAAAAACAATGATCTCAGTGGCCTTTTTTCCCTTATATTAAGAACATAAACTGAATTGCATAAATTATCCAGATGCAAAGAGCCATCTATTTTGAAATCTATTCTGGATCTTAACCTTTGTCAAGTTAGCAAATAAATGGCATAATAAAATAATTTCCTCACTTCAAAATTAATTTTATATATTAATTTTATCATGTTCAGTCATACTTAGAGAAATAGCTTCTGAAAATATTTGGGGATATCTTCAATGTATGGTCAATTCAAGTGTACACCAAAACATATAGTCTTTCCTTGGTCCTTCAATTTATATTTTGAACAATAAGGAAATCAATTTTAAACCAAAATAAGACACATGCCTTGTAACAGTAATTTTGAACAAATCCTAAACGCAACATTAAAGTAGAGCAAGTTGTTCAGCTAACTTCAATTAATTTTCCCTGCTAATGAATTCTTGCTATGTTGATTTGTCATAGTTTGGTCTAGATTGTCCCCTCTATTCAAGAAATCCTATTACTCACTGTTATTTTCCACTGGTGTAATAAAACAATATCTCTGATAAATATGGTTAATAAGAACAAAAATATGTTTTTGGTTGCTTTGCATGGGGTGAGTTTTCAGCTCAATGTCCTTTGAAGCTGCACCCTGACATTTTGAGAGGTTACCCACAAGCTGTTAAATGGGTGAGAAATTGCTGCATCTTTATATTAGCCAGTAATTATTTTTCTAATCTATTTTCTAGGACATTCTCCCAAGGAGCTTCACAACAAAGCCTTGTGAGCTTCACAACAGAGACTTTTTAACTTGACTGTTATAGTGAGGTAGAAGTTGTTATGATGACAAAAACAGCTGCACTGCATCCTTTAGAAATTTCATAAAGCTTGAGAACTAGAAGAGAAATGGGCATTCCAAGACTCCATGGAATGGCTCCCCTGTTCTTCTGCAGCCACTGTAAGAGGGATGAATTTCTTTCCCTCAGCCCCACACAAGCAGAGAATTGTGAAAGGGAGGATTCACCTTTTTGGAAGTATTTAATCCAACATGAGAAGTAAATTTCATGAAGTGTAAGAGAGTTTCTGCTTAGCTCAAAATATTTTGATCATAGGAATAAGGAGAAAGTGCACAAAAAGAAACTATATTTAGTATGGCAGACAAGGTTTTTTGGGTAAATGTGATATATTTTATTAGATCAACAAATTAGCCCCCACTTCTTGCCACTGACTGGCTGTGAGGGGTGCCTGTCATGTGGCCCTGTCCCTTTCCACCAATTGGTGGGGTGGGGTGAGGCAGAATGACAGACAGCCCCCACAGCCAATCAGTGGTGAGGGGCAGGGCCATATGACAGGCAGCCCTCACCACTAATCAGCAGTGAGGGGTGGGGCCTCCAGAGCCCCTCAGCCAGAGGCATGGGGGTGCCCACTGATCTCCTCCCACAAAACAGCTGCCATGCCCTGCGTTCTGCCTGCAAAACTGGCAGGCAGCTGCCTTGAATTTGGTAGGTCCCTATGTATAGCTAATCATTTATGATAAGATCAAATTTTCAGGTATATTTTGTCAACTGTAACAGATGGCTTGGATCCTCTTTTAACTTATGAGAATGAACATAATTAACACTAACAGAAATTATTCACATGCATGGAGAGAATACACCTACATACGACCACACAGATCAGCTTACCCTGGCTGAGTGTCATTTGTTACACAGTGATAGGTAAAAGTTCCAAACATCTGGACTCCTAGAATTCCATATAGTAGCAGAAAGAACAGAAGGAAAATTGAAACACTCCAAATCTGCTCTCCAGAACGCCTGATAAAAAGATAAATAGTACACTAAATGCACATGCAATGAAAGACTATGTCTAGAAAAAGATATACACCAATTGCAGTAACACACACAAAATAATTTAAAAAATAGTAGTCCTGCACGAGTGGCAATGTTAAAACAAAGTATTTCATTATATATTAGACAGAAATGGAAGCCAAGATTTTTCAGAAATGGGTATCTGAAACTCAGCTTAAATCAATATTGAACCTACACAATTGCTTGATTTTTTTTCAGAAGTATAGAGCATCAAACAGATTACAGTTGCTCCAACACAGAAAATAAAATTGTAGCTTTATTACCATCAATCAGTTATTGTCTGAATCATAAACATTTTAACATAGTACTTTCTTCCTCCTCTCTGAGGTTCGTATTTGCATATTTAGATTGTTAGGGCCAGCTCCTCAGCTGATATAAATCAGCTATTCCACTGAAGTCAGTAAGCTCTCATTAATTATCGCCATCTGAAGAGGTGACCCCAGTAACTAAGACAAACAGGTTATGCAGGAGAAATTAGAAAAAAATAAGACTTAATGAAAAATGTAAAAACCCTACACTTTTCTAATAGGGTTTCTATTATGGGATATATGCAGAATACATGATGATATAGTAAAGTTAATCCCAAATGTAAGACAATAAATTTATTCCACATCAACCCATCATGCATAACTATGTTTTAAAATAATGTCATAATTTTACAAGTCAATAATGCAGGACTTTCTGGGATTAGAAAAGAAGTTCTATGCATCTCATTTAAAAACTGGAAATCGCCCTCTCTCTCTGTATATGGCTCCTATTTAAGGGCATTATTCATCACAAAATATCAGGTATCAAAGCCCATTATTGAATA